TGCCAGTGTGCTCCAAACCAAGAGACCCCTCCACATGATTCTGGGCACAGCTGAGGAGGGATGCAAGTTCAACTCTGCTCACCACACTTAAGAAGCAGGCAAGGGAGGAGGAAAGGCAAAAACATGGGGTCCTGAGGCCCTTTTACTCCCTCTACCCTATTGGAGGTGAGGATGAGAGGTGAGACTTCACTGGACTGTGCTCCTGGCCAGTTGATCTCACCCAACTCATTGCATCAGTAACCTGGTCACAAGGTGGACACTCTGACCTCTTAGCCTTTCATTGCCAATGCTACCAGCCCTATATATGCCCTTATGGGGCCTGAACCTTGACTCAGCTAGGCGGGCTTGGAGGTAAAATATTGAATGGGTCAGGGGTAGGAGGAGAGATGAGTCTGCCAAGGCTGTGTGATGTGTCATTTGAGAGAGTGGGTATCCCCTATTCCCAGCACATGGCCATTTATTTAGAGCCAGGGAGGGGGACGAGAATTCGTATTCAAATGTGATTGTTCCTTAATTACTACTAGTTGTTCAGGTGAGGGAATCAGGGAAGGCTGTTACGCAGTGCCAGATTAATAATCCACACGTTGCCCCTGCACCTCCTGTCCTGGTTTCCTATCAAAGCCTCTCCTGTATCTGTGAACATTCCAGCCCCGCAGGTCAGACTGCCGGCCAGGAGTAGTCTCACGTTCTAGCTGACTGATAGCCTCGGCTTCTGCTGTTGCATGTGGTTTGATGATTCATGCTGGAGCCTTTGGCTATAACTCTCTTCCCTGTATAAGGGCCATCTCTGAAGTTTGTCTGCCCAACTCCATTACCTGGTGAATGAGATTGGCTGGCTGCTGCTCCTGCCCCAGCTATTCAGTCATTTGGCAAATACTCATTTAAACAAAGCTCCACAAGGAGCTCCGAGAAGGAGCTCACCTCTAGGTACACAGAACCTGGACACAGATGAAAGTTTGCAGAATGACCCAGTTGTGCAGAGGACACCCACTGGCTGCTCTCAGTGAGGCCAGGAAGAGTCAAACAAAGCATCTTGGACAAAGAGAGGACTTGAGGGCCCTTTCAAAGTGTTTGTCAAGTCAGTTGGATGCACAGGATGTGTGGAGTTGAGGGGTACATCTAGGAGCAATGGCAGGTGTTATCAGTTCATTCAGGTTAGACCTCTGAGCAGACAGCAGAAACGTCAGCCACAGGTGAGCATAAGCTCAAACCCCCCATTGAAGGCTATATTCTTGTCCCACAGAGCAGAGCACATGGCAAGTGGCACACTGACTCAGATACCAGGCACTGGGAAAAGTGGGAAACCATGGTCACAGACTCTACATCCCCCTGCCCTGTTGGCCTCCATCCCTTCCTCAACCGTCTGCAGAACACCTCCTTCGAGCACCTTAGCTGCTGCCTCCCTCTGGACCTATTCAGTCCTCAAGGGTGCCCTGCTAAAGGCTGGGCTGAAGGCTAAGAGGAGAGGTGGCATTCAATGTGTCCTGTGGCCTCCCTGGGGTTGATGAAGGGTTGATGCCCAATGGAGTCCTTCATCTTGGCATTCAGCCCAGGGTCCAGCTGCCAAGGGAAGGCTTGGCAATCAAGGGTGATGGAGATAAGAATGAAAAGGGGCACCACCCTGTGCCAAGGCTGGCATGGTGTATATCTGAGAGAGGAGCTGCCTATTCACAGCATAGGGTTGTCAAGCTGGAGGCAGGGAGAGAAAAGCAAGAGCTTTTTGGTTCCTCTTGAGGATTGAAATCCATAGGAAAACGTTGTAATAGGGTGAAAAATAAATTTCCCATCCATCCAGACTTTTTTCTTTGGTAGACTTTCTTGTCATCTATTTAAAATGAAACAAGTGTATGTACGTGGTTAAGAAATTTTAGCTAGGAATGATGGCGTGTGCCTGTAGTCCCAGCTACTTGGGGGGCTGAGGCAGGAGGATCGCTCGAACCTGGAAGGTCAAGGCTGCAGTGAGCCCAGATCATGCCACTACACTCCAGCCTGAGTGATGAAGTGAGACCCTGTCTCAAAAAAAAGAAAAGAAAAGAAATTAAACAGTGCCAGGCTTCAGGGCTTATGCCTGTAATCCCAGCACTTTGGGAGGCCTAGGCAGGCAGATTGCTTGGGCTCAGGAGTTCAAGACCACCCTGGGCAAAAAATATAAAAATTAGCTTGGTGTGATGATGTGCCTGTAGTCCCAGCTACTCGGGAGGCTGACCTGAGCCCAGGGAGGTCAAGGTTGCAGTGAGCCATGATCATGCCACTGCACTCACTCCAGCCTGGGCAACAGAGCAAGACTGTCTCAAAATAAAAGAACTTAAATGAAAAGAAGACAGCAGTTTCCCACCTCATTCTTCTCAAACTCCTCTTCAGAGGCAGCCAGTTTTTTTTTTTGTTGTTGTTTTTTAACTATGTTTTTCTACTGGCTCACTTTATTCCTCTAAAATAGTAACTTGTCTATGTGGTACCATAACGGGTTCAGTATCTGACATGATGCTGCGCTGCCTACACCTTTGGGGATTCTTGGATCCTGACTGAGCTACCTCATTCCTAGACACCTGGTACACCACAGTGCATCCGGGATGTGGGTAAATGCGCTTTCGGTTTATGTGGAATATTTGCATTTTGTTAGGTTGTGTGTGGTGGTGGAGTAGCCAAGAGGGTAGCATGCGGTGGATATTTGTTTTAAATATACAGCAACTGGAAACTCATTTACTGAGGCTATTTGGTTACCCTGAGCTGTTTCTACCAAAAAAGCAGGATAAATGCTCCCTCAACACACACCTTTAATTACCAATTTTTAGAGTAAGAGGTTGAGTATCATTATGAGCTCAAAGTTTTTTATATATTCACTATGGTTCAATCATGACAGTTGCTATTTTTGATGCTGAAATTGCCACAAATCTAATGTCCAAGTTTTCTTTGTACTTGTCTAGGCCTAGGATCTTTTAGTGGAAAAAAAAGTATTTAGAAGACAAAAAAATCAGACTGAGCACAGTGGCTCACACCTGTAATCCTAGCACTTTGGGAGGCTGAGGCAGGCAGATTGCCTGAGCTCAGGAGTTTGAGACCAGCCTGGGCAACACGGTGAAACCCTGTCTCTACTAAAATACAAAAAATTAGCGGGGGGTGGCGGTGTGTGCCTGTAATCCCAGCTACTCAGGAGGCTGAGGCAGGAGAACTGCTTGAACCCAGGAGGCGGAGGTTGCAGTGAGCTGAGATCGCGCCACTGCACTCCAACCTGGGTGGCAGAGTCAGACTCCGTCTCCAAAAAAAATACAAAAAACAAAAAACAAAATCTGGGTTGCAGGGTTGATCATTGCTAATGGGGTGTAATAGCTGTTCAGATGACAGAGGGAGAAAATGTACTTTGTAAATTGTTAGTTCATCGAGGTTATGATTGCACAACAATGTGAACATACTTAATGCCACTGAACTTTATTGCCATTGATAACTTTTAAATGGTAAATTTCATGTATATTTTGTCACAATAAAAAGTCTGAAAATTGAGTTCATAATATTTCCAGTTTGGGCCGAGCACGGTGGCTCACGCCTGTAATCCCAGCACTTCAGGAGGCTGAGGTGGGTGGATTACAAGGTCAGGAGTTCGAGACCAGCCTGACCAACATGGGTGAATTCCCATCTCTACTAAAAATAAAAATTAGCCGGGTGTGGTGGTCACCCAGGCTGGAGTACGGTGGTGCAATCTCAGCTCACTGCAACCTCTGCCTCCCAGACTCAAGTGATTATCCTACCTCAACCTCCCAAGTAGCTATGATTACAGGCACCCACCACCACACCTGGCAAATTTTTGTATTTTTAGTAGAGACAGAGTTTCACTATTTTGGCCAGACTGGTCTCGAACTCGTGACCTCAAATGATCAGCCTCCCTCAGCCTCCCAAAGTGCTGGGATTACAGGCATAAGCCACCACACCTGACCTGTGTTTAGTTTCTAATGGTGTTAATATAAGTAGTAATTTACTTATTCAAGACCAGCCTGGGCAACATAGTGAGACCTCATCTCTACCAAAAAAATTAAAAATTAGCTGAGGGTGGTGGCACGCATTGATAGTCCCAGCCATTGAGGAGGCTGATGTGGAAGGATCACCTGAGCCTGGGAGGCAGAGGTTGCAGTGAGCCGTGATCATGTCACTGCACTCTATCCTGGGTGACAGAGTGAGATCCTGTCTCTAAATAATAATAATAATACCAACACTATAATAAAAATACTGAGTGAAGTTTAAAAAACAATTTTTTTTCTTTTTTGAGACAGAGTGTCACTCTGTTGCCCAGGCTATGAGTGCAGTGGTGCAATCTTGGCTCATTGCAACTTCCGCCTCCCAGGTTCAAGTGATTCTCCTGCCTCAGCCTCCTGAGTAGCTGGAATTACAGGTGTGCACTGCCACGCCTAGCTAATTTTTGTATTTTTAGTAGAGATGGGATTTCACTATGTTGGTCATGCTGGTCTCGACCTCCTGACCTCGTAATCTGCCCGCCTTGGCCCCCCAAAGTGCTGGGGTTACAGGTGTGAGCCATTGCACCTGGCCTAAAATTTCTTTGTAGTTCTTTTTGTCCACAGAGACTATCCTACAAAGAATATACAAGGAACTTGAAATAATTGAGTTAATAACTTGAGTTAAAGGAACTTGAAATAATTATTTCTCTGGTGTTTATATTATCAATTAAATATATAGTTAGGTCCATTTGATGTGTTTCCAACTTCAGGGTTCATTTTTTTCTCATTTAATTTTATTTTTTGATAAGATACAGCATAAGAGAGTCACATGGTGATAAGACAGAATCAGTAATAGAACGTAGCCTTTAATGCCACCAGAAATCCAGAGAGAGAAATAAGCTAGGGTTTTATTCAGTAGCAGAGAGATCTCCATCCAGGGTCTGCTTGAAACCCCAGTCCCTCTCTGACACCACAAGGTCCCCTTGGCTACCTGTCAGCCTCCTGGGGACTGCAATGGAAACATCTCAGCCGTAGACATCAATCTTCCTCTCATACTGCAGTTTCAAGATGATCTGTATTCTGCTGGGAAATTTTGCATGGTGCTCTCAAACCAATATTTGTCATCCCGGTATGGGACCACCAACAAACCAAACAAGGACACCTGGGAGATGGGGTAAGACAAGAGATGGTGGTGGGGTAACGGCCTGCCCCCATGCACACCTATCATGCCTTCAGCACCACTCACTCAACCGCTAGTGTGCCAGGCTTCGTCTTGGAGCTGGGGGGAGAATGGAGTTCACCTTCTTCAAGGAAGACAGACTCTCAATACTCATAGTGACCCTAGAGCCCAGAAAAGAGAGCATCAACTAATTGTTCTTCATTATATATTGAGAGAAGAGAGGATTCCCCTTGGAGACAAGGGAAGGGCATTCCAGGCAGAGGGAGCAGGGTGTGAGAAGGCGTGAGGCAGCTGGTATGTCTGGGGAACCCCAAGAAACCCAGTGTGGGAGTCTGGGAGAGAAGAGAGGGATCAGATCATGTAGGGTGTTGAAAGCCAGGCAGAAAGTTTTAGATTTAACGGGAAGTCCCTGGGAAGACAGATTTTTTTGTTGTTTTTTGAGACGGAGTTTTGCTCTTGTTGCCCAGATTGGAGTGCAGTGGCACGATCTTGGCTCACCACAACCTCCGCCTCCCGGGTTCAAGTGATTTTCCTGCCTCAGCCTCCCAAGTAGCTGGGATTACAGGCATGCACCACCATGCCCGGCTAATTTTGTACTTTTAGTGGAGACAGGGTTTCTCCATGTTGGTCCGGCTGGTCTTGAACTCCTGACCTCAGGTGATCAGCCTGCCTTGGCCTCCCAAAGTGCTGGGATTACAGGCGTGAGCCCCCATGCCCGGCCAAGAAGACAGAAATTTTGGGTGGCAGAGGAGTGAAAGTCTGTGAGTTGCAGGAGATATCTTACCTGGTCACAGGTATGCAAGGCATACAACAGAGCCACAAACCCCAAGGACGGATACTGACTGTGGTTCTCCAGTCAACTTTCCTTGATATACCTGAGGAAGTAGAGGCTGATCACCTAGGAAGATGGAGAAGGGGACTGACCTGAAGCCTGTCCCATGGCTACCCACCGTCATGTTGTCCTACCACTTTCCCCTTTCCTTCCTGGGGCCCTCACCTTATCTTTGCTGTCTGGTTCCACCAGGAACCTGGACCATCTGAAATCTAAAAAGAAACTGAGGTTTGGGAGGATTTCAGAGTCATTTGACAAGCAGCCTTCAGCCTTAAGTAAGCCTTGGGGGTCCCCCAGTATCCAGCCAGGGTATCTTTGGAGTCGCCTTTGTCACCTCTACAGTGACCTCCCTCCCTGACATACCCAGGGTTTTTTTGTTTCCACATGCTTGTCTGTTTATGCAGTACACTTATGAACCAATCTAGACCAGATGAATTCAACGGAAGCAGCAGTAGTTGGATACCGGGGTCCTGAGGGCTGGCAATCCCAGGGTACATAATGCGCATAGTGGTCCTATTCCCCACATCTGCCTCAAAGCCTTGGACAGGGGCCTGGTTCGTCCTGAAAAGGAAGTCAGGATGGTCATTTAGAGGAGAAAGAGGCTTGGGCTTGGCCTTGGTCTCCACATCCTACCCTGCACCCACCTGAGGACCACTTCATGTTGATTAATCCTGAAACCAAGGCCAGAGCTCCATAGAGACCTTGAGTTTCCCACCACTGCACAGAACCGGTAGTTGGATACCACATGGCCCAGTGGGCATGGGGGAGGTGCTTTAATCAGCTGCTGCTGCTTATTCTCAACCTCCTTCTCTGACTTGACTCCCTCGAGTCCCTAGGAGCATAGGAGGGAAGAATTTAGGGGCTTGACCCAGGCTCCACCTACCTGTGGAAGAAGGTTAGAGCCTGGGGCCATGATGGAGAGATGGCTAGGACCTGGGGTTAGGTCAGGGATTGGACCAAGACTAAGTTTGTGCACTGACCAACCACAATATCAGAGCATCACTGGACATGGGATCCTGTGGCCTCTGTAGGGGTTCAACGGTGCTGTTGAAGCATCTGTCATACCAGTCAGACTCGCCAGGCATGTGGAGGCAGGCAGAGCACGTCTGGACCTCAGATAAGCAGTTGCATTTTCTGGAAAAGTTGCTGGGACAGTGGCAGATTCCCGGGTGTATTTTGACCATATTACAGAGGTCGTTCTGGCTGGAGTGTTGGTATAGGAAGGAGGCAATCAGTCACAATGAAAGGACATAGGCAGCCACCAGGCCCAAACTCCTGTATCGAATCATAATCTTTGGCCCCGATGATGGTGCCCCCACAGACAGTAGATTGGCCCTGACACCTGGCACCAGGAAGAAGAGGCTGGGGCCACAGACATCCCCCAGCATCCCCCATCCTAATGGCTTTCATCCCTCTCCCAACCCTTGACACTACACCTCCTCCCAACACCTTGCTCCTGCCTCCCTAGTCACCTACTGGTCACTACTGGAACTGCCAAAACCTGGCCTAGAGGCAGAAAGAAAGGGAGAGAGGATACTTTTGTGTTCCGTGGCCTCCCTGAGGAAACTGATGCCTAATGGGGTCTTCTGTGCCAGCCCAGTGATATCAGGGACTCATCACAGAGGCCACATTGTGACCTACTCCACCAAGGCCCCTCCTTCGCCTTGGCATTCAGCCCAGAGCCCAAATGACCAGGGAGGTGTGGTAGTCAAGGGTCCAGGGGACAGGAGGGCACAGAGGGAGAGGTTGTGTCCAGGTTGGGGTGGGTGAGCAGGAGGCAAAGAGAGAAACAGAAGGACCACCTTGGCGATGGCTCACACCTGTAATCTCAGAGCTTTGGGAGGCCAAGGCAGGAGGATCCCTTGAGTCCAGGAGTTCAAGAAGGGCCACCTGGAATCTTCTGAAGAGAATTTACTATACTGATGAAAGTGAATATTTGGTACCTTTACCCCTTGACAGCTCTCAGGGGTGGACTTTTTCTTTTTGAGAACTGTTTTTTGTTTGTTTGTTTGGTTGGTTGGTTGGTTGTTTGAGATGGAGTCTTGCTCTGTTGCCCAGGCTGGAGTACAGTGGCGTGATCTTGGCTCACTGCAACCTCCGCCTCCTGGGTTCAAATTATTCTCTTGCCTCAGTCTACCGAGTAGCTGGGACTACAGGTGCGCGCCACTGCGCCCAGCTAATTTATTTTTTATTTTTAACAAAGACAGGGTTTCACCATGTCAGCCAGGCTGGTCTCAAACTCCTGAGCTCAAGTGATCTGCCTGCCTTGTCCTCCCAAAGTGCTGGGATTACAGGCTTGAGCCACCACACCCAGCCAATCCAGTATATATCTTACACTTACAGTATACCTAAATTCAAACCGTTTTGTCAGAAACGCATGATTTATAAATATGATAAAATCATACAGTCAAAAAAGATTTACATACCCAAGTTATAACAAGCATACTGAAAAGTTTTCTAAGAACTGAATTGTTTTTAAATTTAGATTAATGAAAATAAATTTAAAATTTCCTTGCTCACTTGCACTTGCTACATTTCAAGGGTTCATCCATCATATTGGATGGCACAGAACTACAGGCTGATTTAATTCTAAAAGTCAGCAGTCTACTATCAGTGTTTACATTATTGTAACTGGATAAATATTTCCTATAGAGTTTGTAAATGAACTAAGACTACTTTTTTTGTTCATGAGTTCATGATACCTTTTTTTTTTTTTTTATTTTTTGAGACAGTTTCGCTCTTGTTGCCCAGGCTGGAGTGCAATGACACGATCTCGGCTCACTGCAGCCTCTGCCTCCTGGGTTCAAGCAATTCTCCTGTCTCAGCCTCCCAAGTAGCTGGGATTACAGGTGTGCACCACCACACCCGGCTAATTTTTGTATTTTTAGTTGAGATGGAGTTTCATCATATCAGTCAGGCCCAGCCTTTTGTTCATGGTAACTTTCTAAGAAAGGGTGTGGCTCACGCCTGTAATCCCAGCACTTTGGGAGGCCGAGGCAGGCGGATCACGAGGTCAGGAGATTGAGACCATCCTGGCTAACACGGTGAAACCCCGTCTCTACTAAAAATACAAAAAACTAGCCGGGCGAGGTGGCGGGCGCCTGTAGTCCCAGCTACTCGGGAGGCTGAGGCAGGAGAATGGTGTGAACCTGGGAGGCAGAACTTGCAGTGAGCAGCGATCACGCCACTGCACTCCAGACTGGGCAACAGAGCAAGATTCTGTCACAAAAAAAAAAAAAAGGCGGGGATATGTAGGAGATAAAACTTCTACGTTTGCATGTCTAGAAAAGTCATTATTCTGCTTGCAAGAGGTAGAATTGTGTTACTAAAAAAAAAAATCTTTAAGTTCTAACCCCTGATACTTAGAAATGTATTTGGAAGTAGAGCCTTTGCAGATACAATGAAATTAAAATGAGATCATGCTGGATGAGAATGGGCCCTAATCCAATGACTAGTGTTTTTATAAGATGAGGGAAATTGGCCAGGAATGCTGACTCATGCCTGTGATCCCAGCACTTTGGGAGGCCGAGGCGGGCAGGTGACTTGAGGCTAGGAGTTTGAGACCAGTTGGCCAACATGGCGAAACCCAGTCTCTACTAAAATACAAAAAATTAGCCAGGCGTGGTGGTGAGCACCTGTATTCCCAGCTGCTTGGGAGGCTGAGGCAGAAGAATTGCTTGAACCTGGGAGACAGAGGTTGCAATGAACTGAGATTGTGCCACTGCACTCCAGCCTGGGTGACAGAGCAAAACTCCATCTCAAAAAAAAAAAGACGAGGGAAATTTGGAAACAGAAGACACAGGGGAGTATGTATGCCGTGTGATGATCGAGGTAGAGACTGGAGTGATGCTCTGATGCAGGGCAGGCAATCCCCAGAATTGGGCTTAGTCTGAGAGGGTTCTTGGCTTTGCCCTGATGCGATCCAGTGGTGTTAACAACTTGTATTGAAGCGGCATTGCACAGCAGCAGCAGAGGTACACTGCTCCTTGTGGAGGAGGGCTACCCCATAGGCAGTGTGCCCAGAGTTAGCAGCTCAGCAGCAGCTCTGCAATCCTATTTATACCCACTTTTAATTACATGCAAATTAAGGGATGAATTATGCAGAAATTTTTCAGGAACAAGCAGTCCTCCTGCCTCAGCCTCGCAACATGCTGGGTGTGAGCCACTGTGCCCAGCCAAAAGTCTGATTTTTTATTCTTTGTTAACTGTAGTGGTTGAATTCTTGGTCTTGGTCAACAGACTGGTAAACTTCAGAGAAAAACAATTTGCTGGCTAAATATTTAGTAGTTTACAGGATGATGCAAAAGCTAGAGAACCAGGCTCAGTCTATTATGAGACGCAAAACATGGCCAAAGACTACCCCAAGAATGGCCCACCTGGAATGCCACCACTGCTGCCAACACAACTGGGCCCTTGACACTGGTAGTTTCAATATGGCAGATTCTTTTCAGCTCTTCCCACTAGGAAGAGCAGTTCATTTCCCCACTTCTTGGATCTTGATCTCACTTTATGACTTGATCTGACCAACAGAATGCTGCAGAAGTGACACCGTGAGGGCTAGGCACAGTGACTCACACCCGTAATCCCAGCACTTTGGGAGGCCAAGGCAGGAGGATTGCTTGAGCCTAGGAGTTCAAGGCCATCCTGGCCAACATAGCGAGACCCCCTTTCTACAAAAACAAAAATTAAACTTAACTGGGTGTGGTGACATGCATTTGTAGTTCCAGCTACTCAGGAGGCTGAGGTGGGAGGACCCCTTGAGCCCAAGAGGTTGAGGCTGCAATAAGCCATGATTGTACCACTCCATTCCAGCCTGGGCAACAGAGCAAGCTCCTGTCTTAAAAAATAAAAAAATAACAAAAAAGCGAATTGGAACTGAGGCATCTAAAAAAACTGGGAACCTCAAAATGCTAAACCTTCTGTGAAAAGTTGGGCCCAAAACAAAACAAACAAACAAACCAAAAAAAACCCTCACCCTCCAGCATGAGTGAAACAAGGAGGTTTACTTCTTTTATCGAAATGGGTAAAGAGCCTCCCCCAACAACTCAAAGTTTGGGTTTGCACTTGGCATGAAATTGAATCTAAACTTATACCTCCTACAGGATCCAGGGGACCAGGCAAAGAAATTAACTCAAATATTGCCCCCGAGATCTGGAAGGCACGTCTGGCCCTTCCCTCCCAGACAGTGTGGTTGCAGGTAAGACAATCAGGCCAGGATTTTATTCCATACCAGACTGATCTCCATACAATTTCCTCTTGCCCTTTACCCCCAGAGAAATAGGACATGTATGGACTCAGCTAGGCTGAGCTTGTGTGAATAGAGAGCTTGTCCACATGCTAGCTGATGGATGACTTCGATTTCTGCTTCTGCACTAGACGTGGGCAGTATTTCCTTGGAGCCCTTGGTCTGATTATCCTCCTCCCAGTGATAGAAACACTTTCCTTGCTATTCTGATCCAAATCCAAAGACGGTGACCTAGTGGATGAGAGGGGGACATATGTGTCAGCAGGCGGACTCCTGTCCTCACCCCTGCCTCCCTTCACTCAGCATCTGGGATGACAGGTTGCCCCTGGGAGCTGGGAGGAGACTGGAGCTCACCACCAGGAAACAGACTCTGGACACTCTCCTAGAGTCACTGAGGAGCCCAAAAAAGAGAATGTCAACTCGCTTCTTCTCATAATATTGGAGGAAGAGAGGGGAACCCCCAGGACATAAGAGAAGGACATTCCAGGCAAATGGAATGGTGCATGAGGCAGCTCATGTGTCTGGGGATTTCTACGAGCCCATAATGAGAGCCTGGGAGACAGGAGGCAAAAGGAGGAGTCAGAACATGTAGAGTCTTTTTTTTTTTTTTTTTGAGATGGAGTCTCACTCTGTCACCAGGCTGGAGTGCAGTGGCACAATCTTGACTAACTGCAACCTCCGCCTCCCGGGTTCAAGCAATTCTTCTGCCTCAGCCTCCCGAGTAGCTGGGACTACAGGCATGTGCCACCACGCCTGGGTATTTTTTGTATTTTTAGTAGAGATGGAGTTTCACCATATTGGCCAGGATGGTGGTGAACTCCTGACCTCATGATCTACCCGCCTCAGCCTCCCAAAGTGTTGGGATACAGGCATGAGCCACTATGCTTGGCCTACACAGAGTCTTGAAAGCCAGGCAGAAAACTTTAGACTCCATGCTGAAGGCATTGAGGGCGGGAATTTTAAGAGAAGATACAAGAATCTTTCCTGCCTGGGCACAGTTGTGCAAGACACAGAACACAGCCTTGGGCCCCAGGGATGACACTGACCCTGGTAAGGCAGCCAGTTGTCCTGCTTGCACCTGGAGAGGAAGGGGGAGGGAACTGACCTGGGGCCCTTCCCACAGCAACCCACAGCCACCTCCTACCCCTTTTCCTATTCCCCCTCACCATGTCTTTGCTATCTTCCACTCCACTAGGGAACCAGACCATCTTCCAAAATCTGAGAAAGAATTGAAGGTGGAGGAGTTTGGGCCACAAGACCTGGGAAAGTCCTGCAAGTGTCTCCACTAAGCCAATAGAAGGTCTTCCCAGAGCCCCTGCTGTTATTCCCTGCAGTGACCTCCCCTCACCCCCACACAGAGAGTGTTTGGGGACACCTCCTCCATCACCTCATCACTTAGATCATCTGAAGTCCACACCAGGTCAGAGAGCTTCTGCAGCAGCATCTCCAGCTGCATCCAGGAGCCCTGGTCACTGGCATTCCTGGGATAGATGAAGCATTGTGGGTGGTTTGGTTCCTCACCTTCATCTCAAAGCCCTAGACTTGGGGCCCGCTTCATCTTGGGAAGGGGAGCAGACACTGATGGAACTGTGGGGCAGGCCTGGCCCTCCTGTTCCCGCCCTCTCCCCAGCACCCACCTGAAAACCACGGGGTATTGGTCGATGTCGTTGCCAAGGGTGAAGCCCTGCAAGGTATGTGGGCACCCCAACAGCACACAAGTCCCACAATAGAAATCAAAATGGCTCACCGAGAGCCTGGGAATCACTTTAGACAGCTTCCTCCACAATTTCTCAAGCTGGCTTCCTGAGTTCATGCCCTGGAAACAGAAAGAGGGAGATTGGGGGCTGGGCCCAGGGGAGAGAAAACAGAGCTGGGTGGGTGAGATCTCCACCCAGAGGCTGTGAAGACAGGGCCAAGGGCAGGGATTTGGGCGGAAGGTGGGAGATGGGTGAGGCCCAGGAAGCATGGCAGATAGGGCCGGGCCCAGTATTGACCACTGACCAACCACCAGGGCACAGTGTCAGAGGTCATAGACTCTCTTGTCCTCAACAGGTACCCCGTGGTCTTCCTGGAGCATGCATCAAGCCAGTTCCATTTGTGGGCTGTGTAGCCGCAGGAGGAGCAGTTGAGGGTCTCAGAAGGGCAGCCACACTTCCCCGAACTGAACCAAGGGCAGTTGCAACGCCGTAGTACCAAGTACATTCGTTTTTCCTGGAGTGCTGATTCAGGTGTCAGATCCAGATAGGGGGTCATCAGCCAGAGGATGAGCATCCAAAAAACCCACAGGACAAAAATCTGCCAGCGCTTCATGTCTGACCCAGGTGGTGGCTCCTGTGGTGGGCCGCAGACTGGCTTCTCTACCTGGAAGGACGAGGGGCTGAGGCCACAGGCAGCACCAGCTTCCCTCTGTCCTGTCGGCCTCCACAGCTCCCCATCCCTCCAACCTCCACCTCCTTCCAACCCCTCCTCTCCTGCCTCACTATCCATTTGCTCACCCCAAAAAAGGACTCTGACTAGGCATGGGGTGGAAGAGGCCAGGGCAGAGAGACAGCATGTGGCTAGTCCTGCAAGGGGAAGGAATACCTCAGTGGGGCCCTTGGTGTTATCCCAGTTATATCATAGATCTCATCATAAAGTACACATTGTGACCTCCCTCCTTTAGCCTGCCTGGAAAAAGCCACCACCTTTCTCTGACACCCAAACAACCTCCACTGGATGTAAGCTACATGAGGACAGGGGCTGAGCTAGTCTCTCTTCTTCACCTCTGCAGCTCTAAGACTTAGAATTATTTAATAAATATTTATGGATAAATAAACAGGTGTTGAGAGGGAAATTTTTTTTTTTTTTTTTTGAGACGGAGTTTTTGCTCTGTCGTCCAGGCTGGAGTGCAGTGACATGATCTTGGCTCACTGCAACTTCTGCCTGCCGGGTTCAAGCGATTCTCATGTCTTACCCTCCCAAGTAGCTGGGACTACAGGCACGTGCCACCATGCCTGGCTAATTTTTGTATTTTTAGTAGAGACGGGGTTTTGCCGTATTGGCCAGGCTGGACTCAAATTCCTGACCTCAAGTGATCCGCCCACCTCAGCCTCCCAAAGTGCTGGAATTATAGGCGTGAGCCACCATGCCCAGCCGGGAAATTTATTTTTTAATTATTATTATTATTTTGAGACGGAGTTTCACTCTTGTCGCCCTGGCTGGAGTGCAGAGGCATGATCTCGGTGCACTGCAACTTCTGCCTCCCGGCTTTAAGTGATTCTCTTGCCTCGGCTTCCCAAGTAGCTGGGATTACAGACGCCCACCACCATGCGTGGCTAATTTTTTTTGTATTTTTAGTAGAGATGGGGTTTCACCATGTTGGTCAGTCTGGTCTCGAACTCCTGACCTCAGGTGATCTACCCGCCTTGGCCTCCCAAAGCGCTGGGATTACAGGCGTAAGCCACCGCGCCCTGCCCCAGCTGGGAACTTTAAATACACTTATGTGTGATGCCCTCTCTGGAGTTGTGTGACTCAACTCAATCCTCTCTTGTAGTCTCTAGACCCCATATCCAACAGCCTACTGGACTGCCACTTAGATGGCTCAGCGACATCTCACCTGAATAAGCCTGACTGAACCCAGCATTTTCCCTGTAAACCAACCCTTCCCAAAACTTCTCTGTCTCTTGTTTGAGGAGTCTTGCTCTATCACCCAGGCTGGAGTACAGTGGCGCAATCTCAGCTCACTGCAACTTCTGCCTCCAAGGTTCAAGCAATTCTCCTGCCTTTGCCTCCCGAGTAGCTGGGATTACAGAAGCGTGCCACCACGCCCGGCTAATTTTTTGTATTTTTAGTAAAGACAGGATTTCACAATGTTGGCCAGGCTGATCTCGAACTCCTGACCTCAGGTGATCTGCTCACCTCGGCCTCCCAAAGTACTGGGATTATAGGCGTGAGCCACTGCACTCAGCCTCAAAACTTCTCTATCTCAATAAATGATTCCACCATGTACCCAGTTATTGAAACCAGAACTCATGTATTCTTGATTCCTCCTACTCCTATGATACCCAAATTCTTTTTTTTTTTTTTTTTTTTTTTTTTTTTTTTTAAGGACAAAGTCTCTATTACCCAGGCAGGAGTGCAGTGTCACAATCTTAGCTCACTGTAGCCTGTGCCTCCAAGGTTCAAGCAATCCTTTTGTGTCTGGAATTGGTGGGTTCTTAGTCTCACTGACTTCAAGAATGAAGCTGCGGATGCTCGCGGTGTTACAGTTCTTAAAGATTGTGTGTCCAGAGTTTGTTCCCTCTGATGTTCGGACATGTTCGGAGTTTCTTCCATCTGGTGGGTTCGTGCGTGGTCTGGTTGGTCTCAGGAGTGAAGCTGCATACCTTTGGGGTGAGTGTTATAGCTCATAAACGCAGTGCGGACCCAAAGAGTGAGCAGCAGCAAGATTTATTGCAAAGAGCAAAAGAACAAATTTTCCACATTGTGTAAAGATACCAGGTTGCAGCTGCTAGCTGGGGCAGTCGGCTTTTATTTCCTTATCTGACCCCACCCATATCCTGCTGATTGGTCCATTTTACAGAGAGCTGATTGGTCCATTTTGACAGGGTGCTGATTGGCGTGTTTACAAATCTTTAGCTAGACACAGAGTGCTGATTGGTGCATTTATAAACCTTGAGCTAGACACAAAGTGCTGATTGGTGCATTTACAATCCTTTAGCTAGACACAGCGAGCTAGACGAAAAGTTCTCCAAGTCCCCACTAGATTAGCTGGACACAGAGCACTGATTGGTGCATTTACAAACCTTGAGCTAGACCCAGAGTGCTGATTGGTGCATTTACAATCCTCTAGCTAGACATAAAACTTCTCCAAGTCCCCACCAGACTCAGTAGCCTAGCTGACTTCACCTGGTGGATCTCACGCCAGGGCCAGGGGCGGAGCTGCCGGCCAGTTCTGCACCACAAGCCTGCACTCCTCAGACCTTGGGTGGTGGATGAGACCCTGTGCCCAGGAGCAGGGGGCAGCGCCCATCAGGGAGCCTCAGGCCACGTGGGAGCCCACTGGTGCGGGGGTGTGGGGCTTGGGCATGGTAGGCTGCAGGTCCCCAGTCCTGCCCTGTGGGGAGGTGGCTGAGGCCTGGCAAGAACCGAGGTCGGTGTGGGCCTCTGGCAGTGCTGGGGGACCCAGTGCACCCTCAGCAGCTGCTGGCCCGGGTGCTAAGCCCTTCACTGCCCGGGCCCATGGTGCTGGCCTTCCGCTCCGAGTCCGGGCCCGCCAAGCCCACGCCCACCGAGAACTCGCGCTGGCCCACATCCCGGGTTCCCGCCAACGCCCCTCCCTCCGCACCTCCTCGCAAGCAGAAGGAGCCGGCTCCGGCCTGGCCAGCCCAGAGAGGGGCTCCCACAGTGCAGCGGCGGGCTGAAGGGCTCATCAAGCGCAGCCAGAATGGACGCAGAGGCCAAGTAGGCACCGAGAGCAAGCGAGGGCTGCTAGCATGTTGTCTCCTCTCACCCTCACCTCAGCCTGCCAAGATGCTGGGACTACAGAAGTGTGCCACCACACTAGGCTTATTTATTTATTTAATTTATTTCTGAGACAGAGTCTGACTCTGTCGCCCAGGCTGGAGTGCAGGTGATCCACCTGCCTTGGCCTCCTGAAGTGTTGGGATTACAGGCGTGAACCACCACACCTGGCCAATAACATACTTTTTTTTTTTTTGAGACGGAGTCTCGCTCTGTCGCCCAGACTGGAGTGCAGTGGCCAGATCTCAGCTCACTGCAAGCTCCGCCTCCCGGGTCTACGCCATTCTCCTGCCTCAGCCTCCCGAGTAGCTGGGACTCCAGGCGCCCACCACCTCGCCCGGCTAGTTTTTTGTATTTTTTTAGTAGAGACGGGGTTTCAACGTTAGCCAGGTTGGTCTCAACCTCTGCCTCCCAGGTTCAAGTGATTCTCATGCCTCAGCCTCCCAGGTAGCTGGGACTACAGGCGTACAACACTGCACCTGGCTCATTTTTGTATTTTTTAGTAAAGACGGGGTTTCACTGTATTGACTAGGCTGGTCTCCATCTGGCCTCAAGCAATCCGCCTACCTCGGTCTCCCAAAGTGCTGGAATTACAGGCATGAGCCCCTGAGCCTTTCTGGTTTTTTTTTTTTTTTTTTTTTTTTTTTTTTTTAGGTAGAGATGGAGTTTACCGTGCCAGCCCTGTCTGGAACTCCTGAGCTCAAGTGATCCACCCTCCTTGACCTGTCAAAATGCTGGGATTACAGGCATGAACCACTGCGCCCGGCCTCAAATCCATTTTTTAATTCATTTGTTTCTGTTTCTAAGTCATCTTCATCTCCACTGCCATCCCCTTAATTCAATTGTAGTCTTGCAAAGGTAGTAAAATAATGAAAAATTTTAAGTTGTTTTTAAGGTTCAAGAAAAAAAGCCAGAACATTTTGGTTTTTAAAAATCAAAACATTTTATTCAATGGGATAAGAACAAGTAAAATTGTTCATCTTAGCTAGAGGAAAGCTGCGCTGGATATTGCATAGCTTTTAAATCAGTTCACCCAAAAATCTGAGTAAGGTCTGTAGGCTAGTTAATTATATCATACCAATGTCAAGTTCCAGGTTTTGAAAAAGTACCATATGGGCCGGGCACGGTAGCCCACACCTGTAATCCCAGCATTTTGGGAGGCAAGGTGGGCGGATCACCTGAGGTCAGGAGTTCAAGACTAGCCTGACCAACATGGAGAAGCCATGTCTCTATTAAAAATACAAAATTAGCCGGGCGTGGCGGTGCATGCCTGTAATTCCAGCTACTCGGGAGGCTTAGGCAGGAAAATCACTTGAACCTGGGAGGTGGAGGTTGCGGTGAGCCGAGATTAGGCCACTGAACATGATTTCACCTGGGCAAAAACAGTGAAACTCTGTCTCAGAAAAAGAAAAAGTACTATATGTACTATATGGTAAGACACTACCATTAAGAGAAAATGAAGGCCAGGCACAGTGGCTCATGCCTGTAATCCCAGCACTTTGGGAGGCCAAGGTAGGGTTTGAAGCTTGAAGCTAGGAGTTTGAGACCCGCCCGGGCAACACAGCAAGACCCCTTCTCTACACACACACACATACACAATTAGCCGGGCATGGTGGTGTGCGTCTTTATTCCTAGCTACTTGGGAGGTTCAGGTGGGAGGATCACTTGAGTCCAGAAGTTAAAGGCTGCAGTGAGTTGTGATAGCAGCACTGCACTCCAGCCTGGGTGACAGAGCAAGACTCTGTCTCTGAAAAAATAAAGCAAAAATAAAGAATAAAATGGGAAAATGGATGATGGGTACATGGGACTTTTCCATACTATTTTTTACGATTTCTTGTGTGCCTATGGTTATTTCAAAATAAAAAAGTTTAAAAAATTATCTACCAGCCTGGGCAACGTGGGGAGACCCTATCTCTACAAAAAATACAAAACTTGGCCATTGTGGTCCCAGCTACTTAGAAGGAGGCTGAGGTAGGGATCGCTTGAGCCCAGGAGGTCGAACCTTTGGTGATCTGTGATCGTGCCACTGCACTCCAGCCTGAGTGACAGAGTGAGACCTTGTCTCAAAGAAAAAAAAATCATCTAGG